ATTAAAAAAAAAAACCGATACACGAAAGGCTAAACAAATGAGGTGGAAACGAACGTTCAGAAAAAAGAAATCGTCATGCGATAAAGTCGCGAAAGAGACAAAAAGAGCGGCAACGAGACCGAGGTCGTTCGGATTTTGATGCGCTTTTACATAGTTCTTTTAGCAAATGATATATGCAATGAAATGACTTTGATGTAGACTCGACAAAATACAAATGTATCAATAGCATTTCACTTTGAAAAGTGAACAAACAAAAATTGAAATAAAAAAGAACCATCTGTAACTCGTTAATTCACACAATTCAAACTCCAAATATTTTTTTTTAATCTCTGTTTTATGAACTTTGCCTTGTTATAATGCGCAAAGCGCCTCTGAACACTCAAAAAAAATTAAAATTGATTGCCTAAAAGGTTACAGCAGCCGCTAAAATCCAAGCCACATGAATCACTAATAAATGTCTTGCAACCCGTTGACACATACAATACACATAAAACATCTATACAAACAAACGATCATCAATATAATAAGCATTACATACACAGTCCTTTCAGTTTTATCAGTTCATTTTTATCGTTAATTAATTTTATTTTATCTTTGTCTCTCCATATTATTTGAATTTTGTCGTTTAATTAACGTTTCTATGTTGTTTGTTTGTTGTTGTTTTTTGTTTCGTGAGGCAAGTTAACAAGCTGCGACCGATTTAGTCTTAAGTTGATGATTGTTTATCTGATAAACAAAAATGTCAAACGAAAACAATTAGATTTGTCATAAAAACTCGGATAGTTTTTTTTTTCTTTTTATTTTTCTTCTGTTTGTATCATGTCGTTTTGTCGTCTAAGTTTTCTAAATTTTACACACAAGACACAAATTATATCGGCGACATCGATGACATTGAAAGAAGAAGTCTCCTCTGATAATAGTGATTTTTTTTATAAAGTTTTGCTTTTGTAACGAAAAAAAAAGAGATTTGTGGTTGTGGTTGGTGATTTTTGCACCCTGGACTGTGAAAGGTACAAAACGTTTAAAATAACGCAATTTCTCTTGCAATTTATTTCGGCAACGTCAACAAGTGGCTCTATATTGGGACAATGGACTTATAACGATTATTTTTCGGTAAATTTAAAAAGAGCGAAATTTCCAGAAGAAAAAAAAACGTAAAATCCTTGTTTCGTTCTTAGATAACAAAAAAAAATGTTGTTTCTTGATACCCTACAATTTCATTGAATTCTTCTTCGTTTTTTGTTTGCGAAGATAAAAAATAAACTTTTTGAATGCACAATTACGGATAATCTGGCACATATCCATGATCGAGTGTGTTACTATTGAAGAAGAAAAAAATGCATTTTTTTTTTCATTCGTTCGAATGAGAGCCAGCAGGGAAGTAATTTGGTCGCATTGAACGAAAGAAGAGCATAAGCGAAAAAGCGAGCGAACGAAAGAAAGAAATGAGTACACAGCAAAAACTGAGTTTCGATATATCGAAAGCGAATTATATATTTTGCTGCTCATTTTTTATCGATCGGTCATTTGGGTAATCAATATAAATGCGCACTTACCCGAAAAAAAAGAAGTGTATGTGCAATGCGCGTACAACAACAACACAACACATACTGTGCAAATGTTCAAGGGAAAATGCATTGGGCAGCAAGTTGAAAGCTTTCTCAAGCCGTTCAGTTGTTCGATTTGGTGAAGGATGGTGCATACGGATGAAACAGGAGATGGAAACGAAATGGAGATAGAGAGCCATGTTAACGGCAAAATACAATGTTGCGTGCATGCGCGCACGCCCGATCGATCGCACAGTGCATTCCACTTTCAGCGAATGCACAATGCATACACATACACAATGTTTTCTTCTTCTTTTTGTTTCGACTCTTTTCTCTCTTCCTGAAATTGTTGTGAGCCGTTGTTATTGCAGCTCATCGAATTAAATCAGAGCATTAACTTTCAATTCTCAAGAACAATCAGTGATAAATATAATTTTTTTTTTTGGTTATGCCTGTCGGTTGGGTTCGCCCATTAAAACCGTTTTATACTGTTTATATATTTATATATGTGTACTTATATACTTATTGTTTCGTGTTCGCATATTCAGCGCTTCACCTAGTTTTCGACATCGATTCAGTGTATTCGTTGTCAGTTTACGTTTTATGCTTTGTTTCCAACAAAAGATACAAAATAATGGACTAATTTGTGTATGTTTATTTTTTTTGAAGCGATCGCCGTTTTGTGACGAAAAACAAAAAACAAAACAACAACAGTAAAGTCCCTTTTTAAATTTCAATTCATTTTGGCATTAAGTGCACTCGATGGTAATCGGCTCTAGTATTTTCAAATATAAAAAGAGGCGCATCAATGGTTTGACGGAGTTTTTGTGCTCCATAAGTACCACACATTTTGATTTGAGCACGTGCAATTTATTTTTCGTTGCCTTTTGTTTTTCTCTCCCTTGTCTGCAAAATCATTATTTAACAAGTATTCTCACAACGAAGATTTTAATTTTGGTTTTTGTTCGTTGTCCATTCGTTGGTAATCAAAATTGTGAGTGGAAAAATGTACGAAAACAATCATTTTGTGCACCAAATTCAAGATCAGATACGACGAAACATTTAATAATTGTCCATTTTATGCATTTTTTCCGTCTTTTCTTTTGTTTATCTCCTTTCGACACACACAGAGAGAGGGGGGGAGAAAAGTCAGCAAATACTGTTTTACACTTTACTTTACCACATTATTAAGCGATTGTACAATCGTTTTAGCCTGAGACCATACAAATTAACAATGGCAAATGCCTTGCGAAAAATACTCGCATAAATGTGATTGCATACACAAGTGCACACGCACACATATCATTTTATATCGACGGCACGTAATATCATGGAATGTAGTTTTCATCACGAAGTTTTTGTCCTCAATCTCACCTCTGAAAATTTTAACTGTTGATTGTTTCCTTACTTTTCTGTCATCTACGTTGTCTCTGCGTGTGTGCGTTTCGTTGATAAAATTGTGCGTAAAAGTGTCGTAGTTGATTTCAAACACAAAACATATCTTCTATCACCGCGGAACATTTTAATGTCTTAAATGGACGATCAGCTTCTTGAATTTAATGAATATGATTGAGTTGTTTGCAATCTCTTTGAATATTTTTCGCAGTGGTTTTCAATGTTGGTTTTGTATTTGAATAGTATCATTCCAATAAAAAATAAAAAAAAACATGTGGCAAGTGATTTGCAACAACAACAATAAAATGCATCATGTAATCGATCCGTAGAGCGATACCAATAAGAACTTTGTTGCAATGCTGTTTTGTAATGTGCAATTGAAGAAACGCATTGATCTTACTTGTACACAAATTTTCAAGCCAAAAAAAAAACAACAAACATGAAACAACGAACGTCGTATCGGAGCCAAAACGAATAAACCCAGACACCACAACGTTCTATCAAATATTAAATTTTAATCGGGTAATTTGATACTATTTGCTCGACTAATTTTTCGATTTTACCATGGGCGAACGAAATATCTACCATACACACACAAATAATATGCGAAAGGCGAGAGTATAACAATCGCATATGAACCGCAACTGTCGACAAACGCCACACAGTATTTGGTGCTCTGAATGAAATACAGCAACAACAACAAAATGAAATAACAATATCAATAACTTTGAAGTAAATGTTCAAAAAAGGTGTTGTAAGATGACAACATGCTATGAAAATAAGTAACAGACTGAAATCAAATGTGAGCAATAACAATGTAATCGAAGTTTAAATGAAAAGAAAAAAAAAAACACTTGGTGAAGTTCGTGTCGATTTCCTGCCTCTAGTTTTTTTCCATGCGTTCGCTCTGTGTCTCTCTGTCGCTATATCTGCGGCTTTGGGATGAGATACCTTAATATCGGAGTTTAAGGTGCCACAATCGACTGTGGTAACGACTGTGCATTTTTCACAGCATATTCATGGTACGGTGTATGTGAAGTGGAAATAGCAAGAGAGCAAGAGGAGAACTAAGTAAGTGCAAAAAAAAAGAGAATTGCACTAGACATTCGCGTACCAAAGCCATGTCGACATCTCTTGCCAAGGGAACATTCTCTGTTGCTGTTGTTGTTTGATGCTGTACTTCACATAATCATATTAACAGAGTATCGATGACTTCATCCGCACCGTTTCAATTGTATGTTATTGCAGTGAAAAGATTGCAAACAAGGAAGGAATACAGAAGAAAAATTGCGAGAGTGAAAAGAAGAAGAAGAAGAAGAAGAAGAAAAAAGGCAACAGCAAATGAAAGACAATAAGAATCACAAGAAAGAAAATGATCTCGAAAAGAACGTCAAGTAAAACAATGTTTGTGCAATAACAAAACTATCAAATTACGCAGTTATGGTGTAATGTAATGTTATCTGTTTGCTTGTATATACACTCCATGGGCTTACATGTGCTCATACATTCGATTCATTTATTTCGGTGCATTTATGCGCACCACCTCAACTATATAGCGCACCATAAAAAAGTGCTGCGCAACAAACTATCTTTTGTTTAATTTCCTCACATTGTCAAATTTCGAATTTTCGGCGTAAATGACTCGGTGACCAAATAAAAATAAAACTCATAAAAAAGTGAGAATATCAATATGAACAGAAGCAAATACAATAGCCAAACTACCCTAACAAGGTGTAACCAGAGTTAGACGGAACAACCAAAAAATTGTTCACACACATGCACAATGGTTGTCAGTTGAACCGTTTAAAATTCGTTATCCTTCACACTTTTATGTATTGTCTTTTGTTCACAACCAAAAGGACATTCGCCTGTTGATTTATGAATACGAACACTGATTGTGTTCCGTTTACAATTTTCTTTTTTATCGTTATGTGCCTTATGTATTATTATACATTTACAGTCAAAAAATAAAAATGTTGAATCAACATATTTTTCGTGCTGAAATAAAATAAAATAAAAAATTCGTTTTAATAAATATTACTCTTTTCTATATTGCAGGCGACGTGCCAATTCAAATCCCGATTCACCGATCGAAGCAAATAATTCAGAGAATATACATCATGTGCCATCACAAAATACACAAGCCGGTTACCTACCAACGAGGTAAGTCAAGCAATCGATTACAATTTACGCATTATATTGAACACTTATGTTTGGCCAGTTTAGCAAAGAGAAAGAGAAAACATGCGACCTGTAAACCGGGTTGATTGAATATTAAGATATAAATGACTAGCTTTTTAGTAGAAAATTATCGCTACAATTTTGTATGATTAGTTTTTTCTTCTTCTTCTTCGTCTTTGTTATTGTTGCATGAAATGAGCAATTTAATCATCCTTTTGACCTTCTCTTGCTTTTGCCATTCGTTTGGATATTGTATTCTAACCGATTTGCTCTTTCACTTTCACCATTCTCATTTCTGATTTTATTAAATGCTTTAATTTGTACAATTTAGATTTTTCGAACATCCATTGACTGCTGCTACATCAGCCATGCTTAATATATCGGGTGCTAATAATAGTTCGAATAACGAAGATGAATCAGGTGCAACAACAGCAGTCACAACGGCCACAACAAACGTAAGCATCGGCCCATTGGGTACACCGCATCAAGTCCATCAGGTTCATAATCCAAATGGTAGCACATCGTTTGTATATGAATATTACAAAGTTCCGGATAAAGATAATATTCAATGGGCGTAAGTATATTCTATTTTAAATTGAACACATTTTTTGAATGTACAATCGAGAAAAATTCTACATTTACTCTATCTAGTGTCTGGATCTTGTTTTGTTTTTAGTTTTTAAGTTCTAGAATTGGTTTTGATGTTCTACCATCTTAGTGCATAGTCTGCGTTTCCATTTCGATTGGCACAATGCATGCATAAAGGTGTCGATTTTAACATTGATTCCGAGTTAAATGTGGTATTCGACCGATTACTTTCATCTGTTTTTATTTATTGCTGTATTTTTTTTTGTGTTGTGATTGTCACCGATGACGTTATTGTATACGCCATGTATCTAGTTACCATAGGCGCGCCCATTTTCACAGCATTCCAATTTGATTAGGATGAAACACGAACAAAAAAGAGAAGAATACAGCAAAGAACTTGTACAAACACCGTTTTTAGTCGCTTTATTTTCGGTATTATGCAGTACAATACATAAATTTTATGCATTTCCTTGCACGAACGAAAATCCAATAGTTTATCGCATAAGTATTTTCATTTTGAAAGCGGATTTCTTAGATTTTTCACATATGAATTATGTATTTTGACGAGAAAAAAAAAGAGTTTTTTTATTGGCCCGCATTCATAACGAATCAATGAAATATACACTAAACTCATATAGGATCACCGATTCATTCGTTCTCTTTATCGCTCCCGTTCACTGTCTCTCACGCTTTTGCTCTTTTCACTTTTATCAATGGCAACCCATTGAACCAACTCCTTCAAATTTATTCTCTTTTTTTCTCATTTAACCTTTTAACAAATACCAAAACCACAGCACATTCGTTTAACTTATAATGTTTCGAATGGACCAAAAACGTAATAAATTGTCGCATTAGATGTCTTTGAATATTGGATCAACATAAACGAAGATTTTGTATTAGAAATCAAAGAGTATCCATATTGCAATTTAGTTCTAATCCAAAAATGAATTGATTTCAACAAACGATCGACTTTTGGATCGACGTCATTCGATTACGTCTGCTTCATTTTCAAGGAATCGACACATTTTTCGAAATTGAACAGAGAAATATGTGAAAAATGCGGAATAAATTGACTAAAATTAGCTATAAAATTGATGAGAAAAAGCGGCAATCTCTTTATATTTAAATTCACATCGAATGCGGGATGAAGAATGAAGAAAAAAGGGAAACAAATCTCAAGCATCGTGCGCATTGTTTCAAACGATTTAAATGAAGCGGATAAAGTAAAAATCGTTAAAATCATTGTTATTAGAAATAGTTTTTTTTTTCGTTCATTCTACCACAAAACTTCGCATATGATCATCAGTGAAAAACGATATATCCAAAGGGAAAAAAATTATATGTAATTCAATTCGAAACGTATGTCATAATTTTAAAATTTATCGCTTTAATTATAATTCAGTAGTATTCGATTTGCTTTTCATTAATTTTTCTCCTGTGTGCCAGATACAGCACAGAAAATAATCATTCTATCGATAGAAATAGATACAGATGTAGAGTGTGTGAAAGAGAAAATGCTTTGCCTGATTTCGGAATTAGATGCAATAGATCGTCGTCATTTTTTTCCATAGGAAGCGCAAACAAACAAAAAACTAAATGTAAAAAAAAGATCGAACCCAAAAACATTTTTAGAATGAAAACGACGTCGTATCGAAAAATTTATGGCCTTTTAAATGTTTCTTTTTTTTTCTTCTTGGTTTGATTCGGTTTTTTTTTTCTCTACTCTTCATTCGGTAAATTATCATTATCATCGACGGATCGAATAGATGAAAGTATTCTTGGCGATAATAATTTAAATGTATGCCATTGAAATTCAAAGAATAAAACACATCGAATGAAAGAAACAAATGAAATCGTATTGAATGAGAATGAGAAAGAGAAAAAGAAACAAATATACAGCATCAATGATATAAAATTATATAAAACCTAACGTGTTCGCTTGATCGCTTGCTGGCGACCGTACTGAATGAACGAATCCTCAATAATAAAAAAAAGAGCATGCGATTGTGTCGAGTTTTTTTTGTCGCTCTTTTCGATACCAAATCGATTGCTTTGGATTCGCTTGTTGTTTTTCTTTTCCTCTGATTAGAGTGTCATTTCAACGTTCTTTTTTATGCTTTTTTATTGATACTTTAGACTAACAAAGAGCAGGTAAGCATGTAATGCTCAAATAGACTCCAAAATGAATACAACAAAACCAATAATAATGATACACAACTGATTTCATTTTGTGAGATTCAATCCAAATATCAGAAGCATCTTAATGGAATTTCGATTTCAAACAAATTTAACGACCATACAATCGCGCTCGCGACCGTATCTTTACTTTGTTCTTTTGCTCATTTCGATTATTATCAAGTCTGCTAATAAAGTCACCCGAATCGAAAATCATTTGGTTCATTCAAATTCGAAAATATGCGTGAATTCGAAACAAAAAACCATCAAAAATTGTAGCATTAAAGTCTTTTTTTCTATTTGAATAAAGAAAAAAAAACTTTCCACGCTTTTCAATGAAATCATTAAGAAAAGAAGAACATAAAGTTTACATTTTACATAGATGCTCGACTATATTACATATATTAGTCATATTTGATACAAATGAAATTCACAACACATTTGTCATATATTTTCCGCCCAAAACGGCAATAAACAAGAATAAGCAACATTTTACGTACAGTGGTAATTTTTTTTCTACACAAAACTCAACTTTAGATTAGTTTTATAACTTTGAGATCGAAGAAACGAATAATTTTAAAGAAATGGAAATTTCCTTTGTTTTTAAATTTTAATTCAGTAGTCATAAAATGAGAGAAAAAACTATTTATAATTGCCTACAGATTTATAATACTAAATTTGTGAATCAAATTAATTTGCTAGAAAATCTTCGTGCCAAACTGAATAAAATATAATAACCTTCGATTGTATTTTAACCAAGATCGAAGATAAATTTGCAATTTGAATATGAAAATGTGAGAGATGAAGAGGAAAAAAACACACGCATATCTCATCTCAGTTCTTGCTGAGCTAATTAAAATATTCCGTTAGACGTGATGTGTTCGTTGCGCCCCTTTCAACCGCAGTCACATTCAACCCTTCCGTTGTTGTTGTTATTTGGAAAGATTGAGCCTGAACGCTTAACAACGACAGGGGATTGCATTTGGTTTTATTTTCCATCACAAGATGATACATGTACAAATGAATTTGAACGTAAAACGTACATATCAAATAATTTACATCAGTCAAATATATTCAAATGAGGTTCGTTAGCCTAGTGCGAGAATTTTGATGCGAATAAAGTTGAGAGAAATGGTATTGCTACAAGCAAAACTGTTGAAGATTTTAAGAGAAAGAGAGAAATCGGATCCGTTGTACACATTTCTTTGGGACGATGAATGATTATTTTTTGTTTTTTTTTTTCTTTTGCCACGAAGTCTATATGGTTTGTTTGATCAGTTGATATGCGCGATGAAAGGTTAAATTGTTGCACTGTCAATATTGTAATTTCATAAAATTCCACAGCATGTTGAATATGTCTCATATAGCATTTGCCCGTTTTCAATACGATTGAAGTGATGATGATGCCGTTACACATGCAATCAGATCCATTTCGGTATTCAATTGAGCGAATATGAATTTTTAATGAGATCATCTTTCTTCGATTTCGAATTTTTCTTTTTCACAATTAAATTTTTCGATACATTGGTGTGTGATACATATTTGAAAATTTGTACATTATGGCATTAGCAATAGTTATTGCATTCAAATAAATAAAATGTTGGTTTGTTGTAAAAATAAATGTTCTTATCACATCGAACGATGAAATTCGAAGCAAAAAATAAAATAAATAAATAAATCATTTGATTTTGTCGGCTCAATCAAAAGAACTCAAGTACAAGTGAACAAGGTACAAAACATGAGCAAACGGCACAATAATTCACAGCAATGCAAAACCACAAATGAATACGTGTGCAAATTCACACGCACACAAATTAATGTATTATAATAACATCACGAAGAAATCATTATTATTTATTGGCTTTTTCATTTGTTTATAATTCACAATTTTATGCGCATATGTATTCCGTTTATTTTTATTTTTACCGTGCTCGCACGTATATATTCTCTTCTTTTTTCTTTTCTTTAAAAGTTGATCTTTTTGTTTCGGTCTTGATTTAAAAACAAATCGATGATCAAAGTAGTTTCTTCTCTTTGGTAACCATTTTACAATATTTTCATCATAATTCGTCTGCAATTTCATTGGACTTTTTTCCCTTACTTTTACAACGTTCAGTTTCTTTCTCACCTTTTTACATTGTGCACTATGATTTTTATACTAAAAATAAAACTTAAGTAATGGATGGAAAAAAACGCGCGCACACACACACTCCATGATTCAAAATGTGTTTGTTCCCAAACGATTTAATTCTTATTTAAATATACAAATCAATCACAAATGACGCATTTCATGTGATCGTTCGATACAGCGTTTTAGTGGTGCTGATTTGATTTGATTATCTGTGATTTTAATCAAAACGGTTCTCCATAAAATAAATGTTGCCGCACATTTTAATCGGGTTCACACATATTTATTTTTTTCTTAACGCACTCGAACACTTCTCTCTTTCTTCCTTTCGGGGTTTGCCATAAATTTTGTTGCTCAAACCCAAAAGGTATAAAAGATAAGATCTCTTCGAACTTCACAAATGTTTTGGTTTTTTTTTGTGTGCTCCACGGTCTTACTACACATTTTCAAAAGCCAAAGAGAAGAGAAAACCACTGATTGCATTAAGTTTCCTGGCTGTAATAAAAATATGAGCATTTTCAACCAGCAGGGATATGACAATATACGAATCGTAAACTCCCGCCGAACAGAAAATAAAAACCAGAAAGCATACAAACACACACACACACACTTACATGGCCAGCTGAACGAATGATGCCAGCGCTGAATAACTTTGTTATTTCGTTGGCAAAAACCTAATATTCAAGTTATCGTATCAAAGCAAAAGTCAAGCAGGATCTGAGGACATGAGCTCCGTATTTTGCCGTTTGTTTTTCGCCGTTGCTGCGCGCACATTTCTCGTGAAAACGTTGCACAATCGATCTACACACGATTACGTTACGCGATCAAAAGGAAGACGTGTTTGTTGCTGTTTTTTTTTTCGTTCCTTCAACATATTTTCGTGTTTTGTTGTAATGTGTTTTGATCTACATCGAAATGAAAAACCTGTTGAATTGTTCTAATTCCTGATTAACTTGGTAAGGAGTGAGAACATAATAAATGGGAAAAAAACGCATACATACGAAAAACAACAACAAACCAAACGAACAAGTGTCCGCAGACGATGGAAAAAAATCTGGTTTTCGGTAGCACAAAATCATATGGTAATCCATACACAGTAAATGTTAAGTTTATTCATATGATCTTCTTCACATACTTTACCATATGTATGTTCGCGTACATTTTTATTTGTCGCTGTTTGACAGCAATGCACAGAGAATTGATTTTCTCCATTTCTGTTTCCCAAACACACAAAATTGCGATTGATTTATTTATGTAAAATGTCTACAATGCTTGCACCCACAGAATTGTAACTATTTTGGTAAATTAATGTGATCGCATTAATTCATTCACCAATATTGTTTTGAAAGCAATTCGACACAATTGCTTGCATTCATGCGCATTGAATGCAATTTGATTTGTATGTGTGCGTTAGTGCATTGTTTGCAATTGCGAAAATGTGATTTTAAATGTTTGTTTGGGTCGTAATTCATGCCACTTGAATATGAAGCAATTTTAATATATTGATCATTTATTATGTGTCAAATGAATAATATATAACTGAGACTTGTTTTGATACCTTTCCATTTCGTCGATATTGTTGCAATTTCTTCTTTACGCATTGTTTATTTTGTTTGCATTTCTGACGGCATGTGCCAAAAAATAACAACAACAACCACAAAAAACCGACAATACCGATCGGCAAAGAAATAAAATAGGGAAAAATGATTTTGCTAAACATTTTATATCGACTTTTCTGTATTGTTCATTTGATGCAAATAATCTGCTCGTATTTGGCCTGTAACGACTTTCTCAATGCAGTCAATATGTTTTGGGTTCAGGACGAATAGACAAATGTGGTATGTACCGTAGTGTCTTTTTTTTCGGCATATAAATCGTCATTGAAAATGAAGAAGAAGAAAAAGATGAAAGAAACGATTTCACCGTGTATAAACTTTGCATCGTCTAGCCCTAAATATGCATCTAAAGGTAATTTAAATTCACATAAATTTCAGAATTTGTGCATCGGAATTCATTACCTCTGTGAAATGCGTTTTTTTTGTCGATTTTCAATAAATCATTAATTTAAAGTTCCATTAAGTAGATTGACTGTGCTTTTTTTGCCATCTCGTTTGCATTAATGCAGTTGTGTGTGTGTGTGTGTGAGTCCCTCGATTAAAAGTCGAGCCGAATAAAAAGAGCTAGAGAGAGAAAGTTAGGCAAATCAGTATGTGTTTGCATATGCCTACCTTTTTATTGCTCTACTCATGCCAAACTCATCATTGCCACTTTCCGATCAAACTAGAGTTGACTTAAGAAAAGGTACACAAAAAGATGCATTTTATAAATCAATAAATCATACACAATGTACATTGTAATTCACACCAAGAAATTATTCTTTTTACCCCTTTATAAATTGTGTGTTACTCGTTCGTTTATTTTTTTTTATTGCTCTGTGCGTTCGCACACAGGAAAAACTTTTAGATTTTTGGTGGAAGCAATTTTTTTTGCATATTTAAATGAAAATTACTTTTCAATTCGATGTAAAATGATATATTTTCATTGCTCTGAGCATTGTTACAAGAAATGTATTTGCAAAAGAATTTGATTGAGCGAAAACGATATGCTTGTGTAAATAATCTAAACCTCTTTTATTAATCTCTCTGTGTGATATTGAATTGCTTCAGAATAAATGCGAACAATTCTATTCGATGAATCAGCTACTGTGTAAACATGCACGCATGTGACAAACGCATAAAATGTAATAATCTGTCGAACAGTTGTAGAACACACACATACCAAAAAAAAAACAGACACTCCATATGACAAATGCACATCGATAAGACAAGAGAAGTAAGACGATTCGATGTTCTTTGACGCTACGAACGAATTTAATGTGTATGAAACAGGCGAGCGAGAGAGAGGGACAATTAAAAAAAATGAATACAAAAGCACAATATTACATTGAACTAATAATTGCACTTTGGATTCGCATCAGATTCGTTCGTTCATATCCGAAGCAAAAAGTGACACCAAAAATATCAAATAAATAAATCGCCATCTTATGTATCAAGGTGTTGCTGTTGTTGTTGTCGTCGTCGTCATCGCTATTTTGTTTTTGTTTTCAGCATAAATTTTTCAAATCAGATGCCATTCGTTCCGAAATCAAAACCAACAAACAAAAAACAGTAACAAATATAATTATTTCGCTTTGCAACGCACAATATTGCGGTGCTGGGGTTTTTTCGGATGCAATGCAATGCACCCGATTTTGTTATTCTTTATCGCATGCTTATTTTCATTTCTTCAGAGTTTTATATGATTATTTTGATGTCGTAGTATTTGCAAAAGTTTCCTTTTCAATTCGTTTTTTTTTTTGTTCATAAGATTCGTTTAATGTTTTTTTTTTTTTTTTTTTCATTTATTATTAATGTTCTGTGTTCATATATTCCAGTGCCCCTACCGCAAAGATAAATGGACAAACCACGCCTTTGGATGTAACTGGCCTATCGCAAAATGAAATACAAGCACTATTGCTCGGATCACACCCATCAACACAAAACGTTAACGTGAAACGAGAGCCCGAAGACTTACGTAAAATAGATCCGAAATGTTCGCGCAATCAAAAGGTAATGAACAAAAATACTAAGTACTTGTATATTATTTGTACATGCCAGTTAAGAGAAGGAGAGCGGCGTACGTTTGTGTAGAGTAAGTAATACGCACAACGACGCAGAATGAGCGAATGAGTATGTATGTGTTTGTGTTTGTGAGTGCGCAAGTAACGAGTTTAGAGTTGTATCGCAATGTTGTGTTTATCGCTATACAATCACGACGACGTTGACGCATGCCAGAATATATTGGAAAGAAACGATTTTTCCGCTGTTCAAATACATGTATTTATCGAACATTCTATAGTGTAGAATTTGCAAAAACAGTTCACCTCTCTCCTTTCAATCGAATCGTTTAAATTCAAATCGGTTTTGTGCTATTTTTTTACTTGTATGAATTGTGTTTTTGTGATGATTTCGGCGCCTATTGCCACCTTAAATCGACGTCTATGGTTGGTTCTTAGCGGCTTTATTTGCATGTAAATGTGTATGTTATGCACATCTGAAAAGCAATAGCACATTGAATTGTGGTGGTGAATGGAGGCAGTAGCATATTTCAATTATCGAAGAAAATGTACAGCAAACTACATGCAGAAGCAGCAGCAGCGACAACAGAAGAAGAAGAAGAAAAAACACACTAATTATCATTGCAGAGAAATTTGTTTTGTGGCCGCTTTCTTTTCCAATGATTTTTACTCGTCGTTTCATCACGTCGCATTCAGAACGGCACTTATGTTGTAAATGCTTGTCATTTTTGTGACCGTTTCCACTTTGATTTCATTTTATGGATTATTATTTTTTTTTTTCATTGTCGCTTTGTGCGCGCGCTTGGTCGTTGTTCGTCTCTTTTCTCTCAGTCTATCTTTTTAGAGCAATAAAATCTTTTTGTTTGAACAAAAGGCCAAGTAGCCACAACGTGTGAAAACCAAATATTTCATCACTTTTGTTTCTCTCTCTCTCTGTGTGTGTGTTTTTTTTTATTTCAAATGACATAAACAGAGCGATGTTCATCAGAATCAGTTTCAAAGTAAAAATAATGCGCGAAACATTGAAACAAACAAATGACCATTTTGGTGAATCATGTCGAAAAAGAAGACTAAAAAGCACATTTCGTTTGGTCAAAAACTTAGAAAATGTCATCAGGTCAAACAATAAGCAAACGCAATAATAAGTTTTATTATTGTTGATGTACTTACACATTTTCGACTTTGTTCGACACATGGAGAAAAAAAATTCGGTGGCGAAAATGCTACTGCGGTTCGTCATACATCACGAAGAGTTTGTGACCTTTTTTTAATGTCCTGTCTCTGTGTTCTTCCTAATTCAAACATAAAAATCACACACACATACAAAATCTTTCCGAAAAACTAATTTTTTTTTTACATCTTAGATGATGTAATCATTTTTAGTTTTAACGTGATCATCATATATGGTTTTTCCTACTAAAACCCATTTAATGGTATGTTAGACGTTTGGCAGACGTGAATCTGATTTGCCATAAACAAAAAAAAGCCCCAAAATCAAAAGACACTCTTGGAATCAGCCACAGCGTAAATGGACTGTCACACAGACAATCCTGAGAGATGCTGTTTTGATAATACACAAAAATGTCATTTTTTCTACCATTGAAGTAGCTGCGACTTTACGTTTGCATGCCCTATAAATCGCACAATAAAACAAAATATGACGACGAACAAAAATGTGTAAAATTATAAAAATATCTAAATGTGACGACCTCACCGAAATAACACACGCACACAATGACTTTCAATAGTAGCGAACGTATTTTTCCTTTGTTACGCTCTTCCATCATCATTTCACGTAGCCGATATTGTGTGGTTGATAAAAAAAAAAGCGTACTTACATTGTGCCAGCGAGAGCGACAGAATGAAAAAAGTAGCGCAAAAATAAAGACGAGCTCAGCAATCACGCTTGAAAATCAACGAATTGTTCGGCTGAGACGGTTTTTGATCGTGGTCAGATCAACCGAAAAAAATACGCAGAATGAAAACAGAAAACAACCATAATATCATATGTGGTCAATTTTTTAAAACTGTTTGCAAACGAATGTGTACGGATGAAAGATGAAAATAATGTCCTCATAAACACCATTGAAAAATGAATTTTGACTTCATGCGCAAACATCTTTAATTGTTTCACATACGTAAAATATTCTTTTGTTTCAACACCATATTCTATCTTATGGGGCGGCGGCGTCACCGTACTTCTCTCTCTCTCTCTCTCTCTCTCTCTCTCTCTATCTTTGTGTGTGTTTCGGACCGATTTAATCCATAGAAAATATACAATTAACACGCAGTTACGCGCAAACAATGACAATATATTTGCTTATTTTTGTCTTTCTTTTTTTATGTGCTTTTATCGTAATTCAACAATGTGGAATTGTTTTCGGTCGTTATTATTTCCTTTCTTGTTGCCTGCTTTACAAAGAAAAACAAAAAAAGTATGCACGTTTCGTTCTAATGCGAAATTAACTGCTACTGCATGGCTGTTAAACAGTTTATCGTACCAAACGAGAGAGTCTCACTCTCTCTCTCTCTCTGACAACAATAAAAAAATACATAGTTATCGCTCTTATGCAATTACCATTGTACTGTCGCAAATGAAATTTGAATCATCAAATTCAAAAACTAAGGCATCTCATTTCGATTGTATTTGTCAGTGATTTCATTTACTAAGTATAGTATTTTTCAAGTATGTTGCTTGGAAGTAATTTTCCCTTCGTTCCAAGCAACGGAAATTCACCAAATCAAAGGTGGAAAGTTTCGGTTAGACCAAGGAGTGATGGTAGATGGGGAAGTGATTTGCATTTTGAAGATTTATAAGAAAATATCGAGAAGGGAAATATGGAAATGCGGATATATTCTTGAGCAATACTCACACACCAATATATGCGTCACTTGCGGAACTCATATTTCGAGATGCATACGCATTTGTTGGCATATATGCCGAAAACAAAAAACGTCATCAATTCAAGACTGTATAGCGACTTGTACGAAAAAAATAATAATAAAATAATAATAACCAAATCATCGTGCGCATACCTATGCACAAACACAGACGCGGACGCATGTGCAGAGCAGCAGAAGCTAATATACAGGTAACAAGAATTGCCTTGCATATGTACACATGATGACGGTATACACGTTGCTGTGTCGATCACACATCTCTTCCATGCCGCTACGTATGCGATGTGCCAGCGGTAGCAATAGAAAGACGAGGCCAAAGCAAACGAGAAAGAGAGAAAAGAAAAAAAAATGAGCGAATAAAAGAGATAGAGAGCGAAAGGCACTGAATGAGCATATGTGTGCGTATGTGTTGTTGCTTGAACGGACTACTACTCGTTTGTAGACTAGTTTGAATATATGGCATTGTTGTTGTGCTTATTCTTGACGTTTGCTGCCTTTTTGTTCATTATTATTATTGTTTTGGATCTTTTTTTCGTTTACGGTTTATGTTGAATATTTAGTCTGTCATAGAACGTTGACGGAACAAGTTCGAATTGACCATCAAGAAGCAGGAAACAATAACAATACACATTGTCGTTGAATATACATATATATCGATTATATTGGTTATCATTTGCGTATATTCGAGATACATTAAAAGAGAGTGAATAGTACATTAAATTATTAATTATAAAGTTTTTTTTTTGTTTTTCGTGTCGACGAAACGAAGGATACAAATTATAACAACAACAGCAGCAGAACACACAATCGAGTGTAGTAAATTTATAACGATAGACTTAAACGGTGCGTTGATTGGATACACGTGATATTGAAGAGTTTTTTTGTTTTTTTTTATCTGTTGTTTATTGTGTGCACAATTGTAAATTACTCTTTAAACCGAGCAATTATGAATAAGAATGGTATTTTAGTGTGGAAAAAATCAAATGGCAATCGAAAAACATGCGAATTGTGATAAAATTTCATATAAGTAATGTATGCACCTAAGGGTGCAAAAGCGTTTAGATATAGTCCTCCCGAGAAAACCCGATTGTGATTATAGTGTATTTAGGCGGTGGATTGAGTGAATATTATATCTGGATTGTGTATGCGTATATGGATCAATTTTGTTAAGTGTAAGCTTCCGCTTGTGATCATGATGATGATGGCCGGGCGCCAATATATGTGAATATCCCGAAGTGTGAACATTGAGATATCATTCCAGATTGAAAGTAGTTTGTTTTGTTGTTGAAACTATTATTATAATTTTGTATGTTTTTTTTTTCATTATTATTATTATTATTTCGCTTCGTATGCGGTATTTTGCGTGATTGTTGGCTGATTAAAAGCGTTTATAAAGTGAACAATACCACACACAAATTGAAGTGTACGCGCATAACAAGAGCATTGATTAAATTGTATAGTACAACGTGAAGACACACCGATCGATAACATGCACGCGTACACACATAGTACAAACGAAGAAATAAAAAAATTTGTATATTCTCATTGCTTTACATCAACGAAACCGAACAAAGAAGCGAGAAAGATGTAAATGCTAAAAAAAAAAATGAGAGACGCAAAGAGAGAGAAAAAACAGCTTTCTTTTGATCTAAATCCAATGTTAATTCAGAATATGTGTGAGATTGTGCCGTTGATGATGGACGAAATCTATATAGTGAGTGGCCGAAGGACGCGCGCGCGCGAGATCACCATTCTCTCTTTCTCTCTGAGTGATCTCGGGTTGAGTTTTCCATTTTAAAAAGTTGTTGTTGTTGGGCTTTTTTTTTTTCTTTCGATTTCATGTGCGTATGCAATTATTAATATCACTATTAATCAGTTTGTCTGCAAGTTATCTTAAGCGGTGGCTATGTGTTCACCCGCTTGCTGGTTTGTCGCGCGCGCGCTCTCTTTCTCTCACTCTCTCGCGCGCACACAGTGTTCACTCTTTCGTGTGTGTAACACAACCAATTCTCATTTCATGTGGTTCATGTGCATTGTCGACGATATCACTCACTATTGAATGGTCACTTTGATTGTTGATATTGCGTCGTTGCTACTAGCAATGCACAGACTGTATAATTTCATGTTCAACTCTTGATGAGATACGAAATATAGAGACCAGAGAGTAGAAAAAACAACAACAACAACGGACGACTGACACAACGATACAGATTTAAATGAAAAGAAGAAAAAAATAGCAAGAAAACGCTTTGGCCAGAGCTGCTGCCGTCATTATATTTATTTTGCGATCTTCCATAATCATTTGTCGTCAACATCATTTTGTGGTTTCATTGGACACTTGCTTGTTCGTTTCTCCATCACACATCTTTTAACTACAAATTATTTCTGGGTTTTTTGTATAGTCATTTAATATAAAGCTTTAAAATGATAAACTTCGAATTCGAGTGATTTTATGTGTACATATTTATATCGCTGTCATTGTGCGTCCGGCGAGTGTGAGTGAGTGCGCTTGTGCATGAATGAGATTTTGCATCTCAATTTTATTTTATGCGATGTGTACAATTGTCAACAGTACGGCAATTATATCATGTCTCGTTGTGGATTTTTAACTGTGATTACCACGTAAATGATGATGAGTCTCACAAATTGAATGATCAAACGATTGCAAAAGGACAAAAACATTCACTAAAAGGATTTTTTTTTCTCTACACGACGAAATTGCGTTGTATCTTTTTTTTTCTCCAGTGAGTTCTTTGTGAGTGTGTGTGTGAGTGTGCGGATGATTTCATTTTCGAAATTAAATTCTGTGCATTATTCGTTTATTCTCTCTCTACACTTGACATTGGCCGTATATTTTGTCAAGCATTTTTTTAAAACCCCAATTTGTTGCTGTGCTGTTCGATCCGAGACAATGATTGCACGTAGAGATCAACGAATGCAATAAAACAAATATTTTATTCGATTTATGATAACATAAAGAATCGACAAACGACAAAAACAAAGTCAAACAGAATCATCGGTATATTGGTCAGGCATAAATAATCGGCCACGAAAAAAACGATGACACAAGAAAAGAAGAATACAACGGATCAAATTAAAATTGATAAAAACAATAATTGTCTGAATATTTTCCGTGTGTCACAAAAATATTGTCATATATTATTGCTTGGGTTTAATTTGTGGCAAAACTTTTCGGATCATGGAAAAAATATATTCGTTTGTGAACTGCAAATTCTTTGTGTAACTTGTGCGCATGCAAAACTCATAAAAATCGAAATATCACAGAATATCATAATTTTTTGAATTGGTATAAATTATGAGTTAGTGAAACATAAGAATCAAAATGAGAAGAAAAAATGTGTGCGACAACTTGAGATGGCAAACGCTGTCCTATATGATGATGATGATGATGATCATGAGTGTGTGTATTTTTGCGCCGAAATAATCATGAAGCTGTGTACAAAGCGAAATTTCGAAGAAAATAGTTATAATATTGTTTCGTAGCAATTTCCCAGAATCATATCTCAAAACAGAAGTTTAAAGTGACCCGAAGAGCTTAGAGATAGACGGGCGGAATTGCATAGTGCGAACCTTAAGCAGAAAATATAAAAAATTTTAATGAAAAGAGGAAAACAAAATCTACCGAATAAAATCAATAAATTATTAGATAACATTTTTTTCTCTCTTGTGACACACTGTGATTTGCCAAGGGTTATAGCAACAACGATAACAAACCATCACAAATTTTGTATAGAAACAGAGAAGAGACAGAAAAAAACATATACGTTTTTAAAACAAAAACAAAAATCAACCAATCATATGCGCCAACAGAATGATGTGAATGTAAAACGCAAGAGCGAGATGTACAGAAATCCACCAGAAAAAATGTCATGGAGTGTGCATTAGCATTTTGTGATTTTTGTGGCCGAAATCATTTGCATATTGAATATATAAAAATTAAGTCATCAACCAAGATGCGTTGTCAACGTGTGCTGTGTTGAATGCGCAAAACGAAGAGAAATAAAAAAAATATCGATATAGCCTTTTTCTCTCTCGCTCTTGCTCGCACTCTTTTTTATCTACTTTGAATGAAAAAGATATCAACTTCGAATAATCCCGAAATTCGAAATGAATCACATTGAATAATATATTGCACGATCGAATTGCTTTTAGAATAAAATCCAATATGCGATGTCAAAACATAGCCAAATGAAAATGAAAACGATATGGCCACCAAAAATGTAATTAATTTCGATTTATCGGATTTTCGATTGAAACACGTAAAAATCATTTTCATGATTTGATATGCGTTTCCCAACATTGGTGTTGTTATTTCATTCAAATCATTGGCATTCTCGAATTCTTTGTCGGCTGGTCAGACGGTTTATTCATGCGGCCCGGGGGCCCCTCAAATCAACGTCATTCCATTTCAATTCCGACTAATGTGTGATCAAATATCAAATTTCCAATGCGCTTTTTGAATATGCATGGATTTTAAAATTTCATGAGAGAAGAAGAAGAAGAAGGAAAAAAACGACAACGGCGACAACGAATTTTTGCCAAATTCCAATAAACAATAGCCAAGTATGGTTTGGTGTCACAGCGGTGTTGTCATTTATTTTTGATGGTCGTCTAATAACACACGGAAAAGAATTTTTCTGCTTTGACTTTGAATTTTAGTGTTTTAATGATAATGAAGAAATAGACGAATAAAAAAATAGTAACAACAACCATCAAACATAGATGGAACATTCAAATGGCAAACATTTGCTTTATTTGATATGCTACGATTTTGTGGTAAATGTCGCATTTTGACATCGAAAGACACACACAGAGAATAGACAGAGAGAGATTTGCGAGTATCGTTATGTACAAAGAAACTTTATGTAGAAACTTTAACTTTTATTACCAAGTTTTTTTTTGTTTAGTCGTCGATTCAAATTTCGAAGGCACACAGTGATTCTGACGAATCGTCAATGATTTTATATACCGATATATCAATAAAATTGCGCCTATTTTATGCTCTTGTTTATGTTGATTGATCTCAATAGAGAGAGAGAAAGAGAGAGAGATATTTACGCAAAACATTCTTGGAACTACTTATGGTTAGATAAAAAAATACTGATTTTATTTTCGAGATTTCAGCTAGATATCACGTAGATTGTTTTCAAAATCGATAATTAAATGAGAAGGCACTGCTTTCCATGGAAAGGAAGGTGACAATAAAAGTAGTCAGCATCTGATCGATCGATTCATACTTACAAAAGTTTTTTTTTTTTTCTTTAATTTATACATGGAATATTTTTTTCTCGCTTCATTTTGTTGTTCCGTATTGATTTTTAAATCACACACAGCAAAAGAATTTTTAATTTATTATAAAATATTCCATATAATTAGTAAATGCTAGAAAAGAGCGGAGAGAAGAAAAAAAAAACGCCACTTATAAAAAAATGTACTATTTGGCCGCTTATTTACGATTAAGCATTTTGTTTTGAAATTCCTATGAAAATAATTAATTTTTGCCATCGATTGATGTGTTTTTGGGAGGTATATACAAAAACAATGACGATAATGATGAGAAACGTAGATTTTGCGTTCAAAACAGCTATTTTTTATTTATTTACAAAGAACTGCGACTGAGAGAGTAAATGATTAATGAATTTTAAGTGTGGATTTGTGTAGTTCTTATTTGTCGAGTTAAACTCAAAACTTTGCATGTGTGACATCTTTAGCGTTGATAAATTGGATGATTTCTTCTCACCCATGTCCATCATGAAATGATTTAGTTGGATTATTTTTTTTTGGTAAATTTCAATGTCAACATATTGCGTCGTGTGAGTCTCATGCATTTGAATGATTTGCGTATTGTTTGGGTCATCGTCGGCGTCTTGGTTTGGGCACCTTCTTGGATATCATTTCAGGTCAATGAGTTTCCTTGCCATTGATCAAACCATATCAGCATAAAAGTTTTACACTGTTTAGGACTCATTTAAATTACGGTGAACGTTCAAATATCATAAAAGTAGTTTTTTTCTATTTCCACTTCGTCTTTATTACTTCGCCATTTCGAATGAATGAGGGATTTTGTATGCTTATGTATGTGCCATGAAGCTACTAAAGTGGTTTATTTTAGCTACTAATCGCCATGTAAGCCAGCTAACTAACAACCTAATGTGTCTATTAATTGATCTACAGTAAGGTGTATTGTGTTTATATTTCAATACAAAAACGTATAAACATCGCCTCCACAAACACATTTGACTGCCGCAAGCAATTTCAATTTTAATTGCTATTGCTCGTTAATGTGTATTGGTCTGTTTAATTAGAATTGTAATTACTTGGGGTTGCATTTAGAAAGAGCTTCGGTATTTTAATTTTGTTGTTGTTTCTTTATTTCATTTCCCGATAGGTTCTCGTCGTTCAATCGCCGTCGCCATCATTACAAATTAAGGAACCACCACTGAGCCCTGGTAGCCCAGCATCTGAAACAATGTACACAACAACAGGTGGAGCGACACAGATCTATATGCAGGTAAGCTCAAGGCACATGAATTTGCCGCTTTTTTCTTCGGTTATTTTACAATTTGTCCAACATGTGTGAATGGCATCAGTTCATAATTGTTCTTTCGCCCACGCAATATGTTTATGTAAATCTGTGTTGTTGTTGTCATCATCACAACATCCGAATCCATACCAAACGTTATAGTGTCTCTTATTTTTTTTTCGTTAGTGAGTTCTTGTTTTGTGTATGAGCACTGTTTTTTTTCTTCTTTCAATTTCATAATCTCATGCAAATACTTTTGATTTTCTTGTTTTACAGGGTCCACCACATCAAACTAGTTCTACTACAACGTCTGGTTCAAATGTAAACACAAATACTCCAAGTCCAGGTCCATATTCTGATCAATATGGAATGTACACAACACGTTTGCCGTAAGTATAACCTTTTTATACACGTGATTTTCTGACTTTCTTTTTTTCTTCTCGTGCTTGGTGTTGATATTATTATTATTATTATTGTTCCAATAATGCTTTGCAGTTATATAAATCTTGATAAAAGTGAATGCAATTGAATCCTCTCTCAACAATCACATTTTTTTTGGATTTTCTCGCAATGTTTTTATGCTTGACGCTTGTCATGCACACCTTAGTTGAATCCTCTTTATTCTTTAGTTTGTGTTAAATTTCTCTCTTTCTCTTTCGTTTTATCTCTGTCAAACAGTGCGGGTGGATCAACATTCATTTCAGAACCATACTATCGCGAATATTTTTCTGGCGGCGATACTGGCGCTCAAGGTTATACACCATCACGTACAATCTATGGCGATACAGCTGAAGGACCATCACAAAGTGCATACGAAGGGCGCTACACAACACATGCAAAAAGTACACTTGTCTATACAAAAACCGTCACCGCAGCCGGTTTAACTGTGGATTTGCCAAGTCCTGATTCTGGTATTGGAGCTGATGCTATAACACCACGCGATCAAAACAACATTCAACAGGTGAATTGCTACTTAGTTTGTTTGTTTATTTTTTTTGTCGTTCAAAACAGAAGAAAACTCGACAAAAATGGGAAAATGTGAATGTACATTCGTTTTGAGATCGTGTGTACGCGTGAATGATTTGGTTTTTGTCAAGTAAATCAAAACACATACAATTGAATACTTTCTCTCTGCGAAATTATTATTGTGTGTGTCATTAAGATGTCAATGGTTTATTCAGATCGAGCCGTCGAATGTCCATGAATGACTGGCACCACACAGCAAAATTCGATAGCATATGCATAAATCTTGCATATTTTATATATTTTGATCCTGTTTTGCAAAATGATATTGATTCGTTTTTTTTTTATTGTATCGTTCCAAGTGGACAAAACTCACACGAAACCATTCAACCTCGAACTCGAATTGATTGTCATTCTGAATTTTTTTTTTCTTTCGATTTTGGTTACGTTCAACTCTTGTTTTTGCTTCTTTTTTCTCTTTCCTCTCACTGTTATCGGCACAGCAATCGTTCGATTACACCGAATTATGTCAACCAGCGACCATCTTGGATAGCAATGCCATTCCTGTTTCCGTGAACGCAATGCAACGAGTTGGTTTGCATACAAATTCAAGCAGCACAAACACGTCAATTAGCAGTCAACCGTCCACACGTTCACGGCCATGGCATGATTTTGGCCGACAGAATGATGCTGATAAAATTCAAATACCAAAAATGTAAGTACAGCATAACTTTAATAATAACACATACAACAACAACAAAAAAAAAAGAAAACAATACCAGTCGATTCAAATGTATTCAATTAGTATTATGTCGTGTATCGTTTTGTTGATGAGAATTCGGACCGGCAAACAAAAAATCCACCCACACATTGGGATTGTCGCTTATTGATGTCTTCTGTTATGCAGTGAGTAGTTGGTTGTGAATACGACATCGAATTACAGTCAATTTCAATATGCGAATTTGTGATGTCTTCAGATGTGCCGTTTGTTTTTTCGTTTGTTTGTTTATTCGTCATTATCGTCGCCATGTGTTTTCTTTTTCGTTTTTAATCTTCGATTCAAATAAACTAGTCCGCAATGAAACAGGTTAATAATGACAATAATCTCCATCATTATGGTTCTTCTATGAAGACATTAGAGCGATAGTTTGCTATTCTATTCGAGTTTCTTTCTCTCTCTTTCTCTATTCCTCGTCGACTATTCAATCGGTCATTGAGATATATTCATTCATTAAATACAGCACATATCTAAATATGCTTCAATAGTCATTGATCGATCGCTTTTAAGCCATTTTAATGGGTAAGTGTTTGGAGTAGATCGTAAATTGTGCGTTTTAAAATGTAAAAGCCCAAAGCAAAGAATATGAACAACAACGAAAATGATAAAGAAGAAGAAAAAAAATTGGACAGCGAACATATTCACATCGAATCAGGCAATCTGGCATGCAGGCCGGCTTTGTGTTGCTATTGAAAGAGTCATACGCATGCATCGATTGACTAAACTCTTTTCGCTTGTGCTGGTTGTATTTTTCTCAATGAATTCGTGATTATTCCTGTCGAAAGGAGTTTGCGCTTTTTTTTATTTCGCTTTTTGCTTTTGCGATAATAATATGGGAAAATGTGATCGTTTGCTCGCACTCACATATCTCGGCAATTGGCCATGAAAATTGCACGTAAATTTAAATCATTCCATATAAAGATTGGTCTTTATCATGACATAAATTCATACATTCAACTTCGATAGAATACCACTCAATATAAATGATGACGACAGCCAACAAAACTAACAGGGAGAGAAAGAGAGAGAGAGAGAGAGAATTTGTTTAATAACGAATAGCACACTGATCAAACTCTTTGTACACTTGACTTGTTGCACAAAGCAGCGTGTGCACCACCGCGAAACAATTTATATTTCGTGTGTGTGTGATTTTGCTGCAAACAATCGACCATCGTACGTAAATGAAGACGGCAGTGTACAATGTAATGCATATTGAATCGCACGTGAAATGCACCGTACACAATATGTTTGCTTGTTTCTTTTTTTCGGCAAAATCATTCAAAGCACACCAAATCAGATGATAATCCACAATCCCATCCATTTCGGATAGTGGCAATCCTTTTTTTGCATTGACTGCTTATTTCTCCCTCTATTTTCTATTCGATTCGTGTGCTATTATATATCGGATCACAAATAACTACGTATAATTTACTTCAAGCATGCTTACTGCATGTGTCAGATTCTATAGAATGCATGAAGCGAAGAAAAGGGGAAATAAAACGATCAAGAATACAAATATGAATATGCGAAAATATTTCAGAAGAATTGATTGCATCGAATATCGAACTAACGGCTCTTCGCACTTCGTTCGATTTCACCATGAAAACAACAACAATAACCAAACAGAAAGAAAAACAAATCACCTTCTTTATCCAATTTCAAACGCATAGAGGCATAAGTATATATCCATTGAAAAATAATGCATTTTTTCATTATTAGCCAAAGCACATTGTTCGTTTTTCGATATTTGTGTATTGAATGTTCACTTGGAAAATGAATTTTGTTGTTGCTTTTTTTTTCCTTCATTTTTTGAAAATGTAAAAAAAACCATCCCAGCATACCAACGGTGATTAGATTAATTTATCGAGTTCAAAAGCTCAAACTCATGATTATCCATACATGCGTAAATGATACGCAATCGATAAAAATGCTTATTTTATCGAATAAAATTGATGTTAAAAGGCGAAGATTTTCGATTTTCGTTGCAAATTGTGACATTTGAAACGGCAGAGATACAGTTTTATCTAATATTTGAAAGTTCCAAAAAATTGATACACATCTCCAAAACGAATGGATCGATATTGTTCCTTGATTTTTGAAGAAAAAGTTTAAATCTTAATTACAGAACAAGTACAGCGAACGATACGTAAGAATCAAGTTTTGTTGAAATATGTATCGCGTGAATAAAGAACGTATGCGTCATGCTTATGACGATTGTGATGACGATGCCATTCTAAAGCCGATCACTGTAAATGCAATGTCAACTGGATTTGTTGAATAACGGTTGCCTATAACCACGCAAACGTATAGCAAACGTCCATTCGAAGTTGTACAGGAAGACAACGTTGAAAATGAAACTAAAAGGAATACAATCGAGAAAAAAAAATGTGTACACAAAACATAAAAATGCGCATCGAACATTTTCTATTCTTAAATCGATTTCATTTACCAAATATGGAATCAATCGATCTAGATAATAAATGAATAACAAATAGAAACATAGACAAGAATCTCTGTGCCGAAGAATTACTACAAAACGTAATCGAGAGATGCGCCGAGAGACTGGCGAATCTCAATTTTGTTGAGACAGGAAAAAAAACAACAACAACAACGAACAAAACAAATTTTAAATGCGTGTGCGTATGAATTGGGATGCATTGTGTCTGTGTGTTCGGTTTGCGATGTATCAACGATAAATTGATCGATGCTCTAGAAATAGAAGAGAGAGAGAGAGAAAACAAACGTTATGCAATCTATGTGTACGCAGATGCCAGTGAAATTGGTGATTGCCTGATGTTTGGATCGGTGATTTCGTCGAGATGTTTGAGCCGTATTTTGTGTTCTAATTGACATGACTCACATGAATGAGTGTGCAAAATGTACATTGCATCGCTTCATTATACATGAAAAACTTGCATATGATTTGCCTTCGATTTGGTCTATTTAAATGTGAACATGGTTCCGTATTCGAATTGTATACTTGTTTGTTTGTTTGTTTTTTTTTTATTATTATTTCGACCATTTAGCATTTGGTTTTTGTTTCGCAATTGCGGCACACACAAAACATCGCCAATAACAATAACAACGAAAAACAATAAAAAAAAATCGGAACAAAATTCAGTCGATTTATATTTGGCATGTTCTTGTCTCAAAATGAGCTTTTTTCATTTGATTTTGTATTGATTGGTTGATTCTTGCATTGCATATAATATTATATATATTGGGTTGATGTAGCGTGTCAATCACTTTGAACGATCGCACTCTATTCATTTCTATTTATGAAATACACTGTCGATTAATATTATCATCAATTAAAATTTCGATTGAGTACACTTTGGGTAAGCTGATTACCGATCCAAAAAGGTCGATCGAAAGCGATGATGAAACAACGAGACGAACCAAAAATTAATAACAGAATACAAAGAGAAGAAAAAAAAATTGTTTTTCCATATGTTTTGAATAATATTGTCAATTAGTGTATTAGGTTGATGTTGAGTCAGTTATCAAAACTAATTTGGTCGTCTGTGTTTTTGTGTGTGGATATTTGACTGAATTTTATTTGCAATTGGTTTGAATTCGACCATCTGTACGCTTCATTGCTTACGAGAAGCACCTTTTTTTCCGTTGTGGTTGTTGGAATCAGTACATTTTTTCCCATTTGAAAACAAAGTTCTCACAGATAAAATAGCCAATCGACATCCATCGACATGTTTAATTCAGCAGTTGTCGAATGACGATGCAGTTTTTGTTGTTGTTTTGCTTTGGCATTGGCTTTTAACTTTGTCGTCATAATCAGACAGCTGAAAGAGCTGTCGCTGTTTGACTTTGAATTCGTTCGTATTTCACATGGACAGAGAGGACCGCACGACTCATTGCGCCGGACACATAGACTATGCACATTTGTTGCGTGAGAAAGAATGTAACTAATGAATGTGCGAATCCTTTTTTTTTTTGTTGTCCCCTCTATTTGCATCGATGCAGTCTCATTTCTCGTTCTTATCAGTTGTTGTTGTTCGTTTTTATTTTATCAATGAATGTCCATTTTGATTAACATCAACCCTCGCACTATTTATCATATTCAGCAGATTAGTTCCGAAAAACTGACAGTTTTATCAATATTATATAATCCACTTATGTATGTTTTTCACTTATCTTTGTTGCTTTTTGCACTTGGTTTTTTTTTGCAAACGATGTAGATTCTCAAACGTAGGCTTTCGCTATCATCTCGAGAGTCCAATCAGTTCATCACAACGACGTGAAGATGATCGTATCACCTATATAAACAAAGGACAATTTTATGGCATTACATTAGAATACATTCCCGATCCAGATCATCCATTAAAGAATCAAACAGTAAAGGTAAGCAATTATGCATGATTTTTTTTATTTTTAAATAAATGTAAATCGTTTAACTTTCATTGATATAGTCGCGTTGAGATCAATGATTCCTGGATCTATTTCGGTAATCCGTTTGCAACATTACCTTTTAAAATGAAATCCAAACAAAAAAAAAAAAAATCGTGCGTTCGTTTGTTCGACGTTTCATTTCCTTTTTAAAATGTGCAAGAAAAAAGAAAGGTAACCGAGCAAAAGACAGATATGTTTATGATTTAAGTTGTCTGTTTATTTAAATACGTTTATTGTCTTCGGCACACACATCAGCGATCATAAATAATTAATCATTTTATTGAAAATGATGCCAAGAGATATTGTAAATAAGTAAGCGCAAAAAAAAGTTATTACATTAAGAATGGAATGAAAGCAAAGAGTACGAAGAGCGAAAAAAAATCTGTCAAAATTAATTTATGTTTGTTTTTCGCGGCTCTCGCACCATAAATGGGATTAACCCCTTTTTTCTATTTTGCCTCTGCACAAATTCCTACATGTGTATGGCGTTGCTACCCGTTTCTTCAATCACAGAGATAGACATCAATCTAGAGAGAATCAAGTAACATATGCATGCACATTGAAAGTGGCAACAAATAAAAGGAAAGAAAGAATGAACGAAACAAAAAAAAACGACGATTTCGTTCTGTTTTTTTTTTTATTTCGATTTCTTCCTTTTCTCTTCGTTTAATGACGAAATAACAAACATTCGCCGTAATAAAGGGGTGACATTGCCATGATGATTACTGCTTCTAGGCAATCACGCACATATGCATACACACACACACTCACCGGCATCGTGTGTCTTTCTCGCTCTCTCGAGAAGATCTCACAATTGATGCGCTTCCTTTTGTCTATTGTTACATTGCTACAAAACGCACACGGTGCTTCATCATTTGAATTTGATCTTCGAAGAAGAGGATATGCAGATTTTTCAAAACGACGACAACGATGACAAAAAAAATAACAACAACAAAAAATCAGCATACAAAAAAAGAAATCCACATTAAAAGAGTGAATGAGTGAGCGCACACAAGAAGGGGCGAGAAAAATAAACTGAAACTGAAATTACAAATAACATGCTATTGTATTTGAATGAAAAAATCAACGAATAATTGATATTGAGCGATATTCGTAGAACACTTAAATCTTTTTGCTTCTGCTCATTTAATGCTCTGCTCTTCGTTCTATCGCTCTTCATATACTAAACACTCGCCTGTGTACGTTCTTCGTTTTTTTTTTTTTTTAATAAGTCTGTGTATGTCTTTCAGTCCTTCAACGCAATTCTCCGTAATTTTTGTTCGACACCTTTCCCTTTTGCGCATCAAATTCAATTTATTCAGAGCTGAAGTATGTGTGAAAAAAGAGATACTCGTTTCCATTCTTCAAATTTTATTGTACGAAAAATGTTAATTCAGAAAATGCAGCGACAAGTAAAATAGAAATAAAAACACAACAACAGCAATGCGTATTCGGGTGAAGATGATTCGCATGATGGAAAAGGACAGTGACAGCATACACACAAAAAAAATGAGTTTGATGTGACTTCAGCATCCTATTAAATGAAACTATTGCATTTTCGTTTTTGAAGTTGATCCTCTGTTGTTGAACACGCATAAACGTAACATTGTCTTATTCCCGATTTTTGATTACAATTTACCAACGAACGTTTTGTCAACGATGTCATTGTGCCGTTGATGAATAATAAATGCAAATCGATAATTTCCCATTCGATAAAAGAACATTGTCAACTTACCGGTAAACGCACAGCGGCAAACGCTAATGGAAATTCTTTCTAGTTTGTATTTTCATCTCATATCGGTGGAGAGCAAACAAACACGGCAATGAACTTATATCGCCAATAATAATATTCACTATAAAATGAAACACATTGTGTCCATTTTGCGTGCGGGCGCTTCAATGTCTTGTTCAATTATTTTCTACATAAAACTCTATTTTTTTAGAGAGAGATTAAAATTTGCTACATTGTAATTGTGGGTATGTGTGTACGCGTGTGTATATGTTTGTGGTGTGTTTATATTTTGGTACCGATATCAAATTTATGCCTACATATTGGTAAAAATTTTATCTCTCTTATCTTAACGCTCGTCGCATTTTGTAATGTTTCGCATTTTCTAGTAGTACCGAAATAAGTGCGTTCGTCATACATATATCGGTGTTTCTCTTTGTTTACAATTGAGTTTCTCAATAAAATTGGAGCCCATCTTGTGCAATAAAAAATTATTTTATTATTATGATTATGATTAATTAACGGTACATAAATATCAAAATATACACGAATGCAATACAATATGTGAAAATGGACAGAGATCAGAGAGTGAAGGAGAGAAAGCGAGAGAGAAAAAAAAAACAATAACAACCGCTCAACAACAAGAAATGTTGAAATTGCATAGAAGTGACTGTTTCAATCGCACCCCAGTCGTTACAATGATTTTTATAGATATGCGACTCTTTAAATCCGCATCGACTATCGACTGCATGGATGCGATAGACAGTTAGACTTTTGTAAAAAAAACTATACAAATTTGATTTTTATTGTTTTTGGCGTTTTTCATTTATATGGATATGATTTTTTTTGGTATAAATTGTTTTTTCTTCTTCTCTTATTGCGGTATAATTTTATGGGTATTTGGTTTGTGCTTTAATGTAGAAGCGTCTGTGTAATATATCCTTTATGGCACAATCAAATTGTGTGATGCTCTCCAAATTTTGCATTTTTTTTATATACACAACAAACGCGCTTGCGGTGCAGAACAGAAAAAAAGAAAGCCGGCCAATAACGCAACACAGTGCAGACATAGACCATTAGAAATTGGAAAACCAATTCAACTCCTGCTCCATTCAAATACACTCAATAATATATATATTGAGAATTAAGGAATGAAAATTATTCAATGAGCACCCATAAAATAAAATACCGTCATTTCGATTGCATGTCTTTTTTTTTTCTTTTTTCTGCCTCTCTACTGCTGGCAAGCACTATGAGCCGTAATGCATTGCAAGCTGTAAATTTCATTTTATTAAACAGACAACTACACAGCGACCGTTGACTACGGACCGAGGGAGACAATCATATGCGAAAGTCATTCCACTGCGTATTGCAATTCATTTCGGAATTAATCGAAGAAAACTATAAAAACACATGAAAATTGCCCACAAAAAATACATATATACACACACCATAAACCTGATTGCTATCGAGCCGAATCGGCCTGTATGTATCAAAAAACTTTCTTGCAAATGATGGAACCATAACCGAATCAATGTTCATAGATGATGATGAAGCAAAAGATGGGAAAAAATGAAATGTGTTTGAGATTCTTTCTAAACGAAATGCATTACACATTTCTAATCGGGTTTCTTTTTCGACAAATACAACCACAACTAATGTGATCAACATTTATTTAAAATTCTTAATTAATAAAAAGTTTGCTCGGCATGCATTTTGTGAAAGAAAAAAATGAAACAAACATTAGAATAATGATCAAATGGAAAGAGTAGTGTTCTGGACAGTGTGCACTTACTCGAGTTTCATCGAAACGATGGCAGTGGCAACAACAAAAAAATCTTTAGTAGAAACCGTTTGAAGGAATTTACATTAAGCGTTGCGTTGCACATGTTTTTTTGTTTTTATTTTTGTTTTTTGTCTCTTTCATTTGTTTTCCTGTGCGATTTTAGCCTGTTTCGAATTTCTGATAAATAACTGCAACCATTTTAATTTGTGCAGCCGTTTAAATCTGCACACCAGCCCCAATAGGTGCAACGATAATGGAATGCATTGCCCATTCGATAGAGCTGTTAACGCATATCAAATCCGCAGTTATTCGGAAACTGTTACAAGCTGTTGTGTAAAAATGTATATTTCGTCGTACTGTGAGCTAGAAAATGAAGAAACAAACACAACAACAACAGAGCAACACATTTTGAAAAACGTCATCAACGCAATTCGCGGCATTCCCGGTGGGGTAATAGTATTTGTTGCTCTGTAGTAGCTATTCGATTTTATTGGTGCAATTTCTATTATTGCTCTTCGGGTATTTTGTTTTCTGATTTCGGTTCGTTTGACACGCTTTCCGATAGTTACTCGCGCACATAATCTCTCTCACTCTCTCTCCCACTTTATTTCCTATTCATCTCTTGTTTGAAGAGTTAATTTTTCATTGGACGATGCTAAGCTAAATGTTGTTAAAATAACTACTTGGCTTTATTGTTTCGATAAAATATGGAATTTTATAAATCGGTAAATGTTCGTTGTCATTTACGGCGAAAATGTTTATGCGTTTTAATTATTTGTTTATTATTAAAATGTCTTGCTTCATCAGTGTTGCATACGATTGAATGTCGTTGTCATCAATTTATGTTGTTGCTATTATTCTTTTTCGTTTCTCTATACCCCCCTCTCTGTCTCCCTATTTCTTTACTTCCTTTTGGTTAGATTCCTCAATCCATTCCACTATCATGCTTTTTTATTATTCATTTGGCATTGATTGTGTATCGTTTTAGTTTTTTATCCAACTCTAATGCGTACAATGTGTTTTTAGTGTGAAGTGTTCTTTTTCTTCATTTAGTCGCAACAATTAGACAAATGAGTGCAATATGTCATGTCAGTCAATTGCAAACTCGGGCAATTTTCGTCATAGAAACTTTTTGCATGTGTGAGGAACACACAATTTCGGAATTAATATATTACACATAAAATTACACAGCAGTTCCGTGACACATTACACATTTGCCCTTCGAGGCAAATCAATACTTAAAAAATGCGCAATCATTTTTTTTTTGTTGAGATGGATTTGTGCAATGAAATCGATGCGATGGTCTGTTTGACTTTTTTCATTTTGCAATCTTTTAAATAATTTGCATATATATATTTTTCATATTCACACCATTTGCAAAGTGTGACATTTTCATTTTTCACTATGAGAAAAAAATATGACAACAAGTCCTCGGCG